ATAATACCGTTGCAAAACTTCTATATAAAAATCCACTGAGTTCTCACTCTCACATTACTGGAAAGGCATTCTGAGATGGGGAAATAGGAGGACATGGAACAACATCCCCCACAACCTATAAGATCAAAAGAATGAACCAAGCAACAACACAACAAAAAAAATCTATGACTTTGATCAGAAATGGAGACATGGACGTATGTCTTGCTGCCCTGACCTAGGATGGAAGAAGAACTGTTAGCCTACAAATCTTGAAATGCTGCAGGAAAACCCCCACTTTTTGTAGCCTGTATTTTGAGATGCTGAATTCATTGGTTTTGAAATGGTCGTGGTTTGTATCAAAGGGTCTAATGTTTCACACCTCCTCTGTCTAGTATAGTCTGCAGGTTTTAGAAGTGCTTGTGCTTTCAATCTCTCACGAAGCATGCAGCTAACTTGCAGCAGAATCTCCTCCCTACATGTCAGTAATATTCCTTCATTAAGGAGACACATATTGGATAGTTATTTAAATCAGGTGTATGCATATACACAATGCATATGCATATATCATGTATCACATCAACACAGAATGATCAAGAAAGTTCATGCAAGGGTATAGCAAGAAAATAATATATGACTAGTATTACAGTATATGTTTAGTGTTAGGAGGAAAAAAAGCCCATTAGTCCAGGAAAACATTAATTTTGGAACTAAAACGCAAAACCAAACCATTTTTTCCTTTATTAATTTAATGAAAATTAAGTTTTATTTCAGTTGTGTTGCAAATATTGAAAACAAAAAACCAGATAATTTTAATACTGCCTCTAAACTAGAACTTTCAGAATTCCCTGGAAATCATATTACATCTGGATAATTATACTTTCAAAGTTATAGACAGATTCAGTCAAAAACATACTGGCTATTTTTCTTGAACAGGCAGTATTAAAACTGAAAATAGCAAAGAGAAGAGAAGAAAGCTGATTTTTAAACATGCAAAGACACACACCATAGCTGAATGATATGCCTTAAAGGAAAACAAAGGGATACCTACTTTCTGCTGCTAGAAGTCCTAGTAGGAAGGCAGCATTTGGACAAACAACAAACAGTATGAAGATTTCAGAACAAGCGATTCATAAGCTGCAACCTAGCATGCTAGTTTAGCCACAAAATAGTATGAACAAACTGACAAGACCCCCCCCCGCCTTTTTTTGAAATATGGTTTCTATGTGTGAAGCAAATGGGACTTGCAGACTGGGATGGGAGGAAAACAAACACTTGGCATTGCGAAGGCAGCACATGTACGCAGTGTTAGGTATCTATAATACCAGATTTTTTCCAACATTGGTTATACTATTTTAAAAAACTCATGGACAAAAAATGATTTCAAGTAATAATATTGTAAAAGGTGAACTGACAAACTATTTCAATATACTGCAGACGAAGCATAACATCATATTAATTAATACACTTGTATTTACTAATTAGAATTTAGCAATATTATATTGAAATCTATTTTTTTACAAAAGTTTCAGTGAGAACCATTAGGAGAACCATTTAGAAATATAACCACTTTATTATTGATTTTAATTAACAGTGACTTTATATACTTAAAAGTTTTTGTATTTAAACATACCAGAACAAAGTCTAAATAGCTGAAAAATCATAAAGATAATAACGGAGTATTCGAAACACTCAAACTCATGATCTCAAAACTGATAGTCAGTTATACCTGTAATACTAGATAAGGAATTAATAACAGTAAATTATAAGGTGAATGTAAGTTGTTTTTCCAAGCACTCATACTCAAAAATGTTACACAAGACCGTTTGCAAATATTTACAATATCAGTGGTAATCTTTGCATAACAACAGTATTTTTTTTTCTTCCTCATGTCGATAAGACTGATCGTTTTTAAGATATGGGCTTATATTGCCCATATTTCATGGAATCTAAATCCCATGAAATTACTAACCACTGACTAACTTGTGAGTTGAGCTAGTTCCATCTATGTTAGAACAGTGATCTTACAACTTGGCCATATATTTGCTGTTTGATCCCATTCTGAAAGACTATCAGATTTAGCTTTTTTCCCATTATTATTACTTTCAAATTTGAAAATCAAGATCTCATACTGTTAGAACTTTCTCATTTGATATGACAATATAGATTGTAACAAGATAAAAAAGAATGAAAATTTCAATTTACATACAGCAATCCTGATACAAAATATCAAAATGCATTTATAAAAATGCCATATGAAATTTCCGCCTTGCAGTTTGAGAAAACAAGCTAGGAACACTGATGTGCCTGCCTTCTACATTCATCACCTTACACCATTACCACAGAGCTCAGAAAGCACATAAATGTTCAGGAAGTACTGCAACAGTGCTATTTGTTAGCCTAAGCTAAGTAAGTACATTTGGTCAGTCAGCCTGTTATAAAATATGCTGCTGTGCTTTCTCTGTGGTCAAACTGAAACACAGCATTATAAAATGCCTTACAGGAATTTATAGCTGTTTGCAGCAAAAAGCTACTCTGAAACTTGTTAGTCACGTTTCAGAATATGAGCACTATAAACCAAGCAATTCAAGCAGGCATTATAGGGGAAAGTCCTTTAACCAAAAGGTAAGATCTGCTTTAATCTAAAAATCAGTTATGCAGCTTACCAAAGACTATGTACTATCCGCTGGCTTAATTCTAACACTGACTCAGTAGTTCTGAAAATGTGGCTGCAAAAAGGTTTTTGGAAATACAAAGTTATAAAAAACCTCTTCAGTTTATTGGCTTTTCTAACTGTCGGCCTAAAAACCTAAACATCCTGAATCTACTTAAAACTCCGAAGTAAACTAAATGGTCTTCCTGAATTCAGCTTCCCAAGTCAAAACATCAAACAATTCCACAGCCTCTCCTTGGGCTGCTGCAGAATGGGGGGCTGAAGAAGCAAAAGGAAGAAAAATGAAAAGCTTTACACTGGTGATGTTCATTCTTCAGCCTGAGGCATTGTTATCGAAACACTTGAAAATTATACCTCCGTACTCTCCATTAGGGGACAAATGCTCAGCATATGACACAAGCAGAGGAAATCCTCCGTCTTGATCTAGTGTGCAATCAGGTGATAGGAGAGCTAGGGAGGGTGGGGGAGAGGGGAGGGAGTAGGATGGGGAAGGGCAGCAGAGAGCAAACTGATGTGAATTTCTCTAGCACCTAATTAATTTCATGGTCCACTTCAAATACTCTCTACTGGGCCAATTTTTCTCATGTGCCAGATTGAGCCTTTAGGGCTGCTGATTGCTAAGTTCTGATTTATATTTGTTTCAGTATATTAAAAATACCCAAAACATTCACTGCCTTGGGAAATTGACATTTTACAATGTCTTGAAGACAGGCAACCTGAAAGTCAAATGTTTTACATTCTAGCAAAAAACATTTGCAAGATGCTTGTCATTTCAGCTGCTTAGTGGCTTTACTAAAGAAGTAACTGAACACAGCCTATCAGCAGTAAAGTAATATTTTAGTTTAATAAATATGTCCCTAATTTTTCAAAACCTTCTAAAAACCTTTATCATACTTTCTCAAAATTCAGCAAGACTGACTTTTGCCATGTTACCAACAGAATGATGGCGGGATCAAGTTAAGTCCTTCAGAGGACAGTTGGTGAAGAAAGAGGAAGTAGATCACCCAGAACAAGCTGTGGGAACCAAGAATTATTAACACACTCTGTACGAATGAAAGGAAGATGTGTACAGAAAAATACCTGGTTGACTTCAAATGAAATTTATCTGTGTTCATTCCCATCTAACTTAGTTATGCAATTTGCTGACCCTCATTAGAAAGCTCCCTGATAAAAATACCCTTTGTGATTCTGCATCCAAGAAAATCATCTGACTTGCTACCTATAGTGCCTTCATATCCCAAGCTATTACTCTGGTAGTATAGGAAGATGCTCAAAGGGTCCAGCGATCCCAGGTTCACTGAATTCTGAGGAAGAACACCTCTAGATTAATCTGGAAAAAAGTCAGAACTGAAATTTTCTGTTTCTGTGTTTAGAAAGACCTGGAGGAGGACAGGATATACAGTTTGCATAACCTAATAAGCATTTACATTTCTGCATCTTTATCTCAGTAGGAGTCCCACCTTTCCCCATTTCTGACAAATCATTTAATTTTAATGGTAAGTTTAATGAAATTTTATGGGAGGATTAAATAGGCAGCAACATTTAAAATATTAAATGCTCTTCATTAGAGTTGATGATCTGGAATAACATTATGAGATGTTAGGAAGGAAACTTAAATAACCCTAAGATCGTCAAGTTTCTACTGCAATTCAAGAGTTTCTACAAACTAGTTCACTTTAGAACCATCACGAGAACCTATCTTTACAAGCTCGAAATATTTGAAAACTTTATTAGTGTACTTCTGAAGAGGAAACAAAATAGATTTCTGTATATAGCAATTTCAGAAGCTGAAAATCACAGTATCTTTTCTTGCAAGCCTCAGTGTTTATCCTGACATATTAGATATTTTATCAGCTAATGTAGTCAGTCAGGGAAACATCGTGAAAACTACCCACTTAGTATGGTTTCCTGATCACTGTGATCTCCCATCAGTGAGATCAACAACGTTATTTTAGAGAACAACTGCGCTTTCCTGAGAAATCTAAGCTATTGTTTCAGCTATTTCAGAGATGAACAGTGGATAAGATAACAGTGGATCCAGCGCCGATATTCTGTAGAATTTACATGTGTACTGGATTCATGTATTCTGTGAGCAGAAAAAATAGAACTTGTACCTTTGCTGTGTACTGATATCTGCAATTACATCACCCTATGAGGAAGACACATGACCTGTTGATGTGAGACTGAAACTGGAAAGAGGAACTGCAGTTTTTAGATTAGGAAAGTTGCCACTGCCAATCATGTTGGTGGCCTATTCGTTTTATTGAAATGGGGGAAGTAGCTGGAAACAAAAATTAAAGCACTGCAAGTAATTCTGGGTGAAGTAAAACCAACTTATTCTTTCTTTAAAAGAATATACGGATCCTTACTTACAAGAACATCAAGTATTCAAAAGCTGGCTGCCTGAAGTTAAGCCATGAGGCTGTGATTACCCATTTGCAATAAATGATCTGAGATTCCCATTCACTTCTGTGGAAATTACAAGCAGTGTGCATCTCTAAGGACGAAGCAATCTTTTAGTTTAAGTACTCAAACTTGAATTCCAAGAAGTGAAATCTAAGAATATCAACAAAAAAATTTGCCTCCAATTCCTGTATTAGTAACATAGAAATAATTTATAAAAATTACTTGCTCATATGAAAGAGCAGAAAAGGGACACTTAATATATGCAGTCAATAAGTAATTTTCTCACCTATAAAAATATTGGGAAAGAGAATTATCACACAGCAGTTCAGCACATGTAATTAAGTTCCTGAAATGTCTTCTAGTAAACTCAGTGTATAGCTAAAATATTCTGCCAATACTACTTAGTTGTTTAGAAAAATAAAAGAAAGAGTCTTATTGGCCTTAGATTTTTCTTAAAAGTTTATTTAACTTGATCCTAAATCCTCATTTTAGGTCAGATAGACTAACCCAGACTTTTGCACTGCAAATGTTGTGAGTAATGTTATGTCAAAATTAAGATACGTAACTATGACAGGGCTGTGTTAGTATAGGGATTGCCAGGTTATTTAAATTCCTGAATATGGGGTGAGGACAAAAGGACTGCTTGGAGTAAGATCACTGTCCTGCCTAAGGCCCAGCTACATGCTTACAGCACAGCAAAGGTATTATCTTCCCCTTTGAAGTATGTTGGGAAGTCCTTGAAGTACACATATTGTGTCTCTCTGAAGATTTGGGGGTCTGGATTATAGTTATCAGAAATACTGTCCAGTGTGCTTTAAAGAGGAGACATCTTAATCATACTGTTCTCTAAAACAGGACGTCAAGAAACTCTGGTACACAATGGTTTCTTTTTATAAATAACTATTAGTAAGGTACGAGAACCTTGCTCCTGCCTAAGAATTCAAGACAAAATTTCAATAAGCTTTTACACTTACGTAATATAAAGAGAAATATGAGGTTATAGCACTATTTGTAATTAAATGTACATACAACAAATAAAAAAATCAGACACAATTTCTGTAGAAACTTACAACTGTGCAGAGATTTTGTCTATTTTCTCCAGTCACTAACACCATTATGACTGAAAATTATTTATGCTTTCACATTTAAACGTTAACTTAATATGCAACTTTATGAAATCATGAGAAATTAGTAAATAATTGGTACTCTAGTCAGTATAAAATTAAGACAGGTTGACTGCAGTAAATATACTTTCTGTTAAAATACCTGAGGAGGTGGGGTCTTCAGAGAAGTCTGGCAGCTCTTCAGGGGGGTCACCATAGAAAGAATTGAATTTGTGGCTTGACACAGCTGCTAGTACTGCCCCCTGAATAAAAATACCCACAAAGTCTAAATTACACAAAGAAGGACTATGAAACATTTCCAGACACCTTGGATCACTCAATCTCCCGAGGACTCTTTTGTGTTGTGTTGACCTTCTCACTGAAGAATAAATAAATTTTATTGTCTTCAGCTCTGCTTCACTGTTACCAGTGACCATATCTAACAGATGAGCTGGTCAAACACTACTCTAATAAACAGTAAATACATTCTTTGCGAGGGGATTAATGAGAACAATTCTTTATGGGAAAGCATTTAAAAATAGTAAGTGTGAGGCATAAATTTCCACAGTACGATGTAAACAAAATAACTAATTTCTTTCTAAAACTAGACTGGGTGGCTTAGCAAGTATAAAAATTCACTCTTTAAAGCAACACAGTATGTTGTTATTTGAGAAATTGTCAGAATCTGACACTGACAGCAGTAGGATATTTGACATCCATAATACATCTATATGAAAATGTAATAATCTCAGACTCCCAGAATGAGTGTTACATGGGAAGCCAGAAAAATGGTTATCTGCTCTGACATATATTAACTTGTTCAAGTAAATTACAGTTTAACCACCCAGGTTTTAATGTCTTACAGTTGTGGCAGTAGGCAAAATGGACAACAAAAAATTTCAGGAAACATTCTGCAGAACAGTGCTTTGTCTAAAATGGTAGAAAACAAACAGCACAGGTATAAAAGCTCTCAGGGGATTAAATATAGTGGCCTCCCCAGGAAGGAATCTGTAAACTACCTGAAACTGCATCTAGAGCAGGAAAACAGGTCATATTCTAAAATGTACTAGCTAACATTTTAATGAAAGCATTACCTGGACATACAAACCACCTAAGAGAAAGCACTGTTTATCATGAACTACGGCAATTGTTGCATCTTAATCATTAGTTGTTTTTGTAGCTACACTAAACTTTTGCAAAGCAGCAACTCAGCGTGTACATCTGATTCTGTGTTTTATTACAAATTATAAAAAAAAACCCTCATGAATTGTAATGCTGCATGTTTCTGTTAAAATTTTCTCAACCTTTCAGTGAATTTAAAAATGTTTCTGTTAAACTTTCCAAGATAGGAACTGAAGGGAAACCATGTTGTTTTGGGCTAAAATGTTAACTTTCTTTTCAATACGGCTGAGAAATAATCTTGTGTATAGTTCAACATAAAGGGGATAAACTGAAGAATACATCTTTGCTCTTCTTAAAAAAAGACATTAAAACATTATCATGTTCCTTTTATTATAAACATAACACAATAATAACAGAAGCCATTGTACTATTCTCTCCTCTCCAGTAACTCATATTACACAGAATTACTGAACTAATTTAAGATGAAGACCTCCTACACACCTTGGTTGATACCAGACAACTTGTGCTGAAATTTAGTTTGAAAACTATGCACTAAGAAATGAACACCCTCAACAAGGCATCATTGCAATAAACAACTGTGAAGGCCTGTTTCAACTTTTTATTTTATTGCTGACTTCAGAACATAGATTTCTCTTAGAACTTTTAAAATGAATGAAGTATCACACAAAATTCAAGTTACATAATTATATTGTTTTAACATTACATTCATTTTACCTTTAGTTTTCGTCTTGCATTGAATTTTCTCAATTGTTCTACTGTTTCTGGAAGATGAATCTTGTATGCATAGCGATCTCTCTCCTTAAAAAAACCCATAAAAAAAAACAAAACAAAAGAAACATTAAATACAAGCTCTTAATATTCTCTCGACATTAAGAAACTAGACGAAATGTACCAGCTAATAAGTATCCTAAGGAGAATGAGGAAAACTTCAAGGAAAACTTCAAGAAACTGAGAGGGATTAAAATATTTTGAAAGAATTCTTAACTTGGGCAAGGGATATTTTCTTTTTGTAATTTTGTTTCCCACTTTGTAGTAAGACCCTAGCATTTTGTTTTACTGTTGTGTTGTTAGTCAGTCTGTGGCTAGCATTGAACTTTGAAGCTGGCAAGCACAAAGTAGTTCTGCTTCTTGTGGTTCACAAATCCCAGTGAAGCAACGTGTTCAAGCATTCTTTTAAGGGGTGCTTGATACTTCAGGTAAGCTTGGGAGATGGGGTACATGTCCAACAGAGCAGGAAGTGCCAGCTTGATGGCTGGTGACACCAGGTGCTAACTTAGAGGAAAAATTCTCCATTGTAGATGCAAACAAAAAATTTGCCAATGAACAGCAGGCAGTGGGGGCAGAACTTGCAGCAGTTACTTTCTTCCCCTGCCCCAAATCATCACAAAAGCTACATACACTTATTAATTTAATGTAATGTTTATCGCATGCATCTCCTGAATCGGAGTGAAATCACTGGCAGAAGTAATTCAGTCTCTCTACAGCACTAAAAATGTCTCTGTCTCACGCTGTATTTGGCTGCTATATATAAATGGTTTAGAAGAAAATTCTGAGTCAGGAGGGAAGGCAGTTTATCATAGGCAAAAATAAGAGAGGACTGAGTGACAGAATGCTGGCCCAAGCTTTGAAACAAAGTTGTCTCAAACTAAATAATCTCTTCCCTTGCTTGTCTTTCAACAAATAACGGCAAATCCGAAAGAGACTACAGACATCAAAAGTGCTATGCTATATAGGCAGAACTAGCGCATTCGCATTACAGAATTATCTTTTTAAAAAGCCTAATTGGCTTAGTTGCTCAAACAACAAAAATGGCAAAGTTTTCTGCCAAAATAACCCTCAACAAAACCCTTGCTTTGGCATCTAAATGTGGGTAAGCTCACAAAGTGAGGAAAAAGTCAAATTACAAGCAGGCAAAACCAGATCACCTGTGTTTACCACAGACTCAATCATTTGAGTATGATCGTTTGGGATTCCCAAACATGGTGTCCATTCCTATGCTCTTTGAAATATTTGATGCACTAGGTATGCCCCAGATAAATAGTCGGAACTTTGGCTCCTTTTGAGTGGAAAGGTTTGAACCCGCAGTTTCCCAATATTCAGAAGAGTGCCTTAACCGCTGTTATTCCCAAGAGGCGCACACTCCTGCCCTCCTTTTATAAGCTAGACCATTCTGCAGCTTGGAATACAAGAGTCAGTGCCAGAAAGGGAGCAGAGAAGTGGAAGAACGACTCCATTCACTAGTAGTTAGACCATTTACTTGGGAGGGAGAAGAAGAACATACAAGCCTGTGCTTCCCAGGTTCTTTTTTTGTGCGGTTGGTTTTTTTTTTGTCAATATTGTCTAATGTAGAACATATGAACAGTCCAGGAGCAGACACCAGAATAGCACCCTTTCCAAGTAAGTGCCCTGTTTAAGTTTAAAGATACTATGACTCTCTCTACCCTGGGCCCACACTATAGAAAAGAAACAGGGGAGAAACAAGAAAAGAAACAAAAAAAAATAGTTAATTCATCAGTTTCTGCCAAAGAAAATACAATGCTCTGAACCAGTACTTGCCACCTTTTAAATCTGCAGTACACCCACCATTCATAAACTCCAATGTTTAGCACAGCTTATTAAAGGGACTGCTGAGAAGCTAGGTGTATATTCTCCTGCTCCTGTTGTTAACCTTCAGTGTCCAGCAACTATTTTTCCACTGGCTCAAACTGTACTGTAAATTCTGCCACCACTGAAAAATAATTTGATTACCAGATGCCATATAATTTTATGCAGCCTTTGAGCAACACACCACTACATACTTCCTTCATTCTGGTGGGATATTTCAGGAATCTAATGTAAGAAAGCAGGACAGTTAAGTAGCATAATGTACTGAATAAACTGCATGGCTACATGCATAATAGGAAAAAGGTCTAGATATGACTGAGCAAAGAAGGGATCAGAAATCACTCCTCTGGAGTTTGAGAGCCACAGAAAGACATGAGAATACCTTCTTCAAGCTTTATTCTACGCAGCCCTACTCCCTATACTCCAATGCTGCCGAAGATGCCTAAGTGAATTTGCTCTTGCTGTTAAGCAAGAGTTCAAGCCTGGCAATTATCAAAATCTCAGGCTCTAATCTTACAAAGCATTTAAAGCATATTATCACGCATTTTGTACAATGTCATGTCTACTTTGAAAAGTTCAAAGAAACAAAGAAATAAATCTTTTTCTCCCTTAAGATGAAACTGGTATGTAAACAGCTGCTTTTAGTACCTTTAACCAGGGATGATTCAGTGCTTCATATACTGTTATCCTTTCTGCTGGATCCAGCATAAGCATGCGGCGTACCAGATCTTTGGCACTTTCAGAAATATGGCTCCATTGCCTAGGATTCATCTGATTACAAGCAAGAAAAAAGAAATTAAATTAGTAATAAGAATATAGAAAAGAACCTACTTTTAATGTAAAATAATTGCAGAGATTTAACAGTGGTTGGTACTTGTAAACATTTTTTCATAATAAATGTAAAAAGAAGTTTCTAAGTTTTTTAATAACTTACAAAATTGTACATTAGCTGCTATTGAAATGTCATAAAAAATTGAAAACAGTGAGCACTGTATCACATAAAAGGTGACATATCCTTGGTATTATGTTATAATTACAGTATAATTTTTTACCTATGCTACATTTTGTTCAGATAAAAGAGACCCTTCACTAGGAAAAAAAAAAAAAATTAGCCTTTGTCTGACAGTTAACTATGCATATGACAAATATAGAAATTAAATCTACTCCTGAAATCAATATAAGGAATGGCATGACAGTCTATCTATATCAACCCACAATTTCATGCCAGTGATGCTGAGTAAGAAAGGAGTCAGCTAATGCCTATTGTGAACTACTCTGGTCCTGTCCCACAGGTATCATGGACAGTGGCTCTTCCCAATAAATTCCTTTCAACTTTACAACAATTAAGCATCTTCAGCCATTCAGGTAGGAAAGCATACTGACATGTGATCAACAATACAAACAATTGCAACACTTTTTAGAGCAGAAGTGTATCTTTAGGAGACAACAATGTGAAGGATGATTTAGAATATATTTTTATCTTGTGCATATGCAGGTTTGTGTCCAACTAGTCAAGATGAGGGACACCCAATAAAACCATACTAAAGTAAGAAAATACTTTCTGAGATAAAGGATTCTATCCTTAAGCTGTTTCTAGTATTTCTTTAATTTATGAAGAACTTCAGTTTTATTTAGATGTTACACTGCTAATTTTACAAGGTATTAAACGAAAATTGACAATTATAACCAGACTCTTTTCAATGTTATAATCTGTTTATTTAAAGACGTCCATTTTATTTAAAACCAGTCTTTATGAAAAATGATCGCTTTAAATTGGAGCACTCAGGAACTTTATCTAGCTATGAAATGAACATTTATAGTTGTGATTTGTCATTTCTTTTTCAGCTTTAATGAAATGAAGGTAATTGCAAATTTGCAGCAAGACTGTTTTGAAATCCTTATACTATTTTCACTGAATAGACATTTTATTGTGGAAACAGGAACAGAAAAGGAACTGGAAGACACAGTGTGCGGGCCGTGACTTTTTTTTAAACAAAGAAAAGTTAACTTGTATGCTTCCAGAAGGCTTTAGCTGCTTAAGAGATTCCATAAAGAAATCTTCCATAAAGTGAAAGTGGAACGTCTACCAGTCTATGCAATCCCAAAACTAGTGCCATGAAAAATCCTGCTGTTTCTAGGAATACAAAATTTAAAGAATGAAAAATGTGCTCCTGACCAAGTACAGCACCACTGCTGTCACTTACATTTTAGCAGACTACTCTTAAGTTCATACTTCCTAAACCATATTACACACTATCAGACAGTTTTAGGCGCTTCCACTCTTTAATTCGCTAATACACAGCTCATGTATGACCTTGGTTGCAAAGTAGAGCAAAACCGATCTTCGATAAAACTGCAAAAATAGTGAAGTCGAAGCTTTAAGTTTGCCTCCATAATGGCTCTAGGATGCTTATGTTGTGAAACACGCTTATCTTGCATGCAGAACTTTCAGTTGCAAGTGGCTCCTTTGAATCATCAGCTGCACTTTACTACATACTGTACTAAAAAGAAAAATGCGTAACTACACTTTTACAGTAACATGCATTTTGTTTTAAATCAAGGCAATATGATGACCAGCCTTTGTGATAGTTCTTTTAGTTGATTAAAAAATTTAAATGATCTATAAACCTAATGTAACATACAGTATGTTATACCTCACAGCTAAACCTTATGTAATGCTACTGAGCTCAATGTACAATTAGGGGCTAGTTGTTGCACCCATTTATTATTTCAGCTGAGTAAATATTTCTGTATTCTAATTCCTAACATTGATACAAAACACACCAGGAACAAGATAGACTGCAGAGAAAAAAATCATCTCTCTTCCTGATAGGCAGAATTTCTATAAGCTTCAAAATTAAATCAGGCTAAATACAAAAATCAACTTCCAGAAATTTTACCAGCAGAGCTTATCTCACTGGAAAAGGACTCAGGTATACTGTTATTTACCTTGTATTTTCCTTTAATAATGCCTTCAAATAATCTTTCCTTGGTTCCATAAAAAGGCAAACAACCGCTTAGCAGGATAAAAAGGATCACGCCACAACCCCAAACATCTACAGGCTTCCCATAAGGTTCCCTTTTTACCACTTCTGGGGCCATAAAATGAGGTGTTCCTACACGTCCTAAATGGAAATAAAAACAAAATTGAGTCAAAGTGATGTGTGTCAAACATGGAAATGAAGAGTATCACTGCATTAAACTAAAACAGTTTTAGTAAGTTTTGTTCATGGGTTAAACTTTTAACACAATTCTTTTTTCCTTAAGTTTATTATTTATTAAATATATCCAGTGAGACAAATCAGTAGTTTCCCTTTTGCTTGATTTATACTTTTATAAATTAAGGAAGATTCTATCCTACCCTGCAGACTGTGAAACAAGACTTATATAAGAGCACTAAGATCCTTCAGTGAAACATGCCATATAAAAGTAAAAATATCAATTTGGACAACCTTTGAAACAGGAGTTATTTATCCAGAGAGCATGTGCAAAGATACTGTAGAGCTCTAGTCTACACCGCTTCCTTGAAAAAGCTGCCTCTAATCGGCAAGAGCGTAGTTTGGTGTGATGCTCTGCCCAAACGTTAGCCAGTCTACTGAAACTGCCAACAAGAACGCAAAATGCTAGCAAATATATTGTTCACTTATTTGAAGTAGATAATATCTTACTGCAGATAAAAAGATAATGCTAATTTGTTTCACAGAGTGCTTTCAATGAGTGCCACACAGTAATGGTTCTGCGACAGTACTGATTTTGGGTAGGTAATGAATGTACACGAACGGAAACAAAACATATTTAGTACCAGCTAACCTTTTGAGTGGGTAAACTGATTAGCATTACTTTATTCAATTTCTGTGTAACACATTAAGCCAAATAAAAGCAACAAACATTTTACCTCTCCCTATAAATGTTTCCCATTGTAAAAAGCTTTGCTTCCACTGCAAAGGATTTGCAAGAATTAAGCTTTGAATGCTCAGGGCATCACTGACACTTACAAATACTGTAGTCTTTGGACTATCCTGGTTCCACCAAGTACCAACAGAAGAAAAAAACCCCACATCTGTAGCAAACTGTTACCACTTGTACCACCTTCATAAATTATTCTTGCTCATTGATACTACAGTGGACTTCAGAGGCTCCATTCAAGGCCTGCAGCACCTTTGTGCTGGCTAGGAGAGTTTACAATGCAGCCTAGAGAATCCGAGGTGTTTGCACGGCATGTATTTAATTCAGTCTGGTCTTGTAAAGGGGCTCTTGCTAGACTAGCTTATCCTGCACACCATCTGAATGTGAGTTAGCTCACAGCACTGGTAACAAACACCTAGGAGACTATATGGCAGTAGCTTACTCAGTTTAAGACCATCCTTCGTTTATACCACCTAATGCAGGAATACAATCTAACCATGCTCTGTTAACTAGTCCCCACTCACTCCTTTTTGCATCTACAAGGATTAAAAATTTGACAAAAAGACAGTAGCTTTTTCACCATACTATATTAAGGAGAAACAACACCATTGTCAAACTTCTTCACCTGGCTTTGCGTTAAACCTTTTCATTCCCAGTTTATGAGGCAATCCCTCTGCCAAACAAATGTTAGGAATCTGCCTGTGACAAAGGAACATTACCTCACCACTAAACTAGGTCAGCATCTTAAAAAGTCCATGCAGACTAGGCTGATGTGATAGCAAAAGGGCAGTTCCGTCCCAGGCTAAAAAAAAGAGTAAACCAACAGGATGCTGCAAGTCCGGCTCATCCCTCATATCACTGGGGGAAGAGGAAGGATATTTACTCTGGACAGAGAAAGACAGAGATGGACATGAGGAAAGATTACTAATTCTTCTTGTTGGTTATACGCAATTTATAGGCTTATGAGGTATCTTTCAGCCTAACTGATAAACCTCAAAGCCAAATCTTCAAGCTCACAAACATGAGGGGAAGAATTATCTCCTTAGGTGACCCAAAGTCTCCCTCTTTTAGATGCCTGGTGACGGTGAAGGGAAGGAAAATTGAAAGTATATATATCCAGTATGCCCAAGTTGCTGAGAACTCTGGGGTCTTTGCCTTTTTTTTTTTTTCATGTGCCTACAAATCTGTATCTATAAGGGTTTCCTAACTTTTTCCCCCCTAAGATGCCATCATTTGCAACAGCAAAAGCATCAACATTTCCAGCTCTGTATCAGGCTATGCATGTACATAAGCAGCAACACCTGCCTGTTCAAACAGTATTTGTATATCACTTAAATTGCTCATGCATACCACAGTCTGGAAATCTTTAGTACAGACGACATCATGCAAGACCGCAGAGCAGCCTGGCTTACCCAAGTCTTGTTTTTATCTCAGTAGTAAACTTCCTGGCATTTGGGTGCAGAGGAACCCATTTTGGAGCAGGTGTAACCTTTCTTACACATTGAAAAAAACCATTCGTGGTAATAAAGCTTGTTCAAATATTTTTTATCAACATGAATGGAAAATCATATATACCCTGAAGATTCTGCCTTCCTACCAGGCTTTCTAACTGCTGTTAAGAAATCTGGCAAGTCTAGAGAAAAGTGATTACTCAAAAGACAAACAACAGAAATCACTAGAAGACAACATTTCACAAGGAAAAAGCTATTTAAAAGAGGCATTAAACTTCAGGGAGATATACAGTCATCTGGATCAAGCAGTTAATGAAACTAAGAATCCTATATATCAAGTTATATCTAAGTTGATTTAATGTGTACTTCCAATAATTATGTGCCACTCCTCTCAGCTTGGGACCTTCTTTGTGGTTTAGGTAAGCAATTGCAGAGATGAACATGGTAAAAAAAGGACTATATGCTGTGAGAAGTAGACCTAAAGGTTTGGGTTTTTTTTTGCCAATGCATTTAAGTCTGCTGGGCATTTGCAGTACAGCAAAGGCCGACCTATAGAACGTCTTGTTCTGAGGAAAACGTGTCCTTGCAAACAAGTACCCATCCTACATTTTCTTCTATGGTGTAAAATAGCATATCTAGCAGCAACACATGCTACATAAGCAATACAATAGCATTACTGCGTGTAGGTGTTCAGGTGTCAAGGTGCTGGCAGCAGGGGGGCTGCAGGGATGGTCTCTGTGAGGAGAGGCTGGGGCTGCCCCGTGCTGGACACAGCTGGTTCAAATGGACCCACGGCAGGGCACAGCTGAGCCCAAGATGGTGGTGCCTCAGGGAAAGTGTGTGTAAGAAAGGGAAAAACATTGCCCAGCAGTGAGGAGTATGGGGAAAAGTGTGAGAAACAGCCCGTGAGCACCAAGGTGAGAGCAGGAAGAAGTGGAAGAGGTGCTCCAGCAGAGATTCCCTTGCAGCCCCTGGAGAGGCCACGGTGGAGCAGGTACGCTCTGGCAGCCCCTGGAGGACCCCGCACCAGAGCAGGTATCCACCCTGCAGCCCATGGAGGACCCCATGGTGGAGCAGATGGATATTCCCTGAAGGAACTGCGGCCTGTGGAGGACCCACGCAGGAGCAGGCTTGTCCTGAAGGACTACAGCCCATGGGAGGACCCACGCTGAAGAAGGAGAAAAGTGTGAGGAAGAAGGCACAGCAGAGAGAGGCTGCTATGGACTGACCACAGCCTCCCATTCCCCATCCCTCTGCACCACTCGGGGCTGGGGGATAAGGGAGTCAGGAGCAAAGGAGTGAAGCTGAGCCTTCACTCAGGGAGTGAAGGGGAGGAGGGGAGATAGTGTTTTCATTTTTGTCTTTGTTTCCCACTACCCAAATCTATTTGAATTGGCAATAAATTAAACCGGTTTTCCCCAAGTCAAGTCTGTTTTACCTGTGATGGTAACTGGTAAGCAGTTTGCATGTATTTACCTCAACCCATGAGTTTTTTTGTCCTATTTTCTCCCCCTGCTCTGCTGAGGAGGGGGAGTGAGTAAGCAGCTGGGGGGACTTTGGCCCTTAGCCAAGATCAACCCACCACACATGGTTATGCTGGAATTAACATACAGCATACTGATTAAATGGGGAGAAATAAGATGGTCTTCCTCCAAAGGTATAGCTTGTTTCTTTCATTTTTAGTTTCAAATATCACCTTACCTGATTTAATCATGGGCTGTATAAAGTGAGTAATCTACAGTGTCAAGAGAGTATCAAAAGTGCATATTTTTTTGCTTCCTTCTCCCCTTCAGCAAATAACATTTCAAATTAAAATTACTTGGCAGAAATTGATAAGCAAGAAAAATCCTTCATTATTTATACGCACTCATAAATATATGCAGAACAGAACAGTTTCTGAGCATTAATCTGCTTCCCTAAATTTTGCAAAGCAGGGTCTTGATGGTGGACAACAATTTCAGATTTCCTTTCCCCCTCCACTTCCTGACCACAGGGCTAGAGAATACAAAAATACTTACAAAACTACTGAATATCAACAAGTAGCAAACATAACTTGCAACAGTACACTTATCAAAATTGCAGACAAAACATAATATGCAAGCATTTCTTACGCAGTAGCCATCCACTGCCAGCACTCTGTTCATTATCAATGACCTTCATCATATTATAATTTTTTTCCATAGACACATTTTTTCCTAACACAACAAGCTTCTTGAGGTTTATTTCCTACTCTCTATGTGACAACAGACAAATTATAGCCTCTTGATTCTTCAGGATTCCTATTTTGCTTTAACTGCTGACATCACATCAGAATGTGAGGCTGCATGTTTACTTAGTACTCAAGAGCTCTTACAGACAAACTGACAGACTTCACGGTTATGGTTAAAAAACACTGTCCTCCTCTCATCATCCCAAATTCTCCTTCTCCTCCCTTGGAAGTTGAACAACTTAGATCACAGGCAGAAAAACTGGATCTTTGTTGCCCTGGCTCAAAACCAGTATACCATAAAAATCCACTTTAATGAACTGCTTGATGTTAAGCAGAAGGACTAAACTAGTTCAGTAACAGGTAACATTCTACACAGCTTTTTAAGACCCCAACAGACTGCTGCTATAAACTAGATGAAAAATGGATGTTACTTAATAGCATGCTGAAAAATCAGTACTACTAAACCTTAATACTCACTTTTAAATTTAAAATGAGAACTCCATAAATACAAAAGAAATTATAAAGAAGGCTAGGCTAACTCAATAAAATCCTGCCATTT